AAAACATACAAACTCACAGCAAGCGTAATTACGGCCAACTCAATCCTTCAAACCTTCAGCAGGGGCTCTCTCGAGGACACACGAAAGGATGGCAGCGAGCTTATCTATCGTGTGAAGCTCGAAGCGCTCGCGAAGGCCCACGGTCAGGTTGAGACAAGAGATTGTGCAATCGTCAATGAGGTGCACCTTACCTCCTTGCCTGATGCCAGCATGGTGATGCTGCGACCAGTGAACTCGGTTGACAGCCCAACCCAACCAAGGTCAATTCCTTCTGGGTCTCTTGCCACACTGCCTGCTCAAGTTCGAGCTCCTGTCTACGACACAGCTTAGTCAGGACTGTCTTATTGAGACCTGGGGCAAGCAACTTAAGAGTGGACACAGACATCTTAGGAGGACGAACCTTGCAAGCGGAGTTGCCAGTGACAGGCATCCACCCTGAGATACGGAAGCCTGCCACTATGTCACGAAAGAGGTCTTCGTGGCTGCAACCAGCTGCGACCATCATCTCTCGAAAGAGCAAAAGACGCTTCCCTTTCAAGATCTGGGCCAAGTACTCGGGCATATCACAACGAAGCTTGTCCTCTTCGGGTTGAAGCTCTTTGGCACGTGTCCTCCATTTCTTCACGAAAGCAAGTCAGATGCATGTAAAATCACCTGTGTGGTATCCCAAAAGCACAAGCTCGTCTCGACTGGCCCCGGTTGGACATGCGGCGGTCCTTGAGGAGCCCTGCGTCACCGTACAGCAGCAACCTCAACCAAGCACCCGCCTCATCAGAATCCAAGCTTCTGATTGTGCCGGTCGGGGGCAGGCATGAAAGGGCCTCGGGGCGGATCCAACGACTCTCTACCCAATTCCCCTGCACCACACCCACAACGACAGGCAGGAGCTGTCCTTTCATAAGTTTGGCACCCATCGTGTTATGGACACAAATCCCAGCTTGTATGTAGGCCGCCCATCATCGCCGCGATCCACGACGATGGTATCTGCATGCTCCAGATCTTCCCACCTCGCCCACCCATAGGTGGTGAAAAGAATGGATCTGGGTCTTCAAACAAAACCTTGTGCAACTTGCCAAGCTCCTCAACGATGAAAGGCGACGCCGGCTTTCGCGCACGAAACTCCCTTTGCCGGCCCCGCTCTCGCCCAGTGCCCAGTGGAGCCAGCTCAGCACCCCCAGCAAAATTCTGGCAGATGTCACAGCTTCAAGAACGGCCTTAAAGGTCGAGGCAGTCGAGCACAATCGACAGCACAGCTTTGTAGAAAATTGTCGTAACCCAGAATAGAACGATACCTCGAAGAGTTGCCGGGGCCTTGTTCCCCAACGAGTCTTCCACCCTGCAGCCTCGAGCTTCGATTACTTTACAGTCTGCAAACATGTGGCAGATCGTGTGGCAGATCACGTCACTGGCCTCAGGTCGGAAGATGGTGCACTCTTCAAAAATCCCTGGTAATCATGGAGTATGAACCATTGCATTGCGTGTATGGTTACATCAGGCACATCACCTCGTTGCAGGTACAAGGAGGTGATCACTGGTAGCTTCGCTGGACACAGTCCCAATGACATGATGTGTCCCCCTGCCCGTCCGCATGCGCAGCGGTGTTCACACACACAAACACGCACAAACACATAAACAAACAAACAAACAAACAAACAAACAAACAAACAAACAAAGAATACAAGTAACCCTAAACCCGGGCCTCCCCACTCCACCTCCTTGGTCTGGTCGTTCTCGCAGCTGGTGCAGCCCACCAGCTCCAGAACCTATGGGTTTAAGACATTGGCTTTTGCTGTGTTTGAGAGGCTTTGCTTCTGCCCTGCACCAATTGCCCAGCTAGGGTTTAGGGTTTAGGGTTTAGGGTTTAAGGTTTGGGTTTTAGGGCTTAGGTTAAAGATGGTTTCGGTGTCCTAGATACAAGGAAGGGTTCCTAAGCTTGCAGAGAGGTCTTGTAGGTTTGCTCAAGCTGCAGGGTTGCTCTTGGTGTGCCTCATGTTGACTTAGGATTAGGGTTTAGGGTTTAGGGTTTGGGGCTTTTTTTACGACCGCCATGCGCCACCGATGCTGCTTTGATAGATGGAAAACATACGTGCAAAGCGCGTAGGCGCTGCCGCCAAGCGAGCGAATAGCTGGGGTGCTTTTGAAGATATTGCTTCAATCCCAGAAAATCTACTCTTAGTTGGGAGCAGTAGCCGGGTTGCGTCCTTATATCTTTCTGAAAGAATTCGAGCGCGCGTTCCGAAACTAATCCTAGCCAGTGCGGGGGTGGAGGACCTCTTTTATGATTCTTTTGGATTCCTACTCTATCTTTATATCCTGGGCAGAAGACTACATGGTGGATCGGGTCGTTGTGCGGAGTAGCCAAGCTTGTGATAAGCTGTTGGAATTGCTCTGCAATTAGGGTTTGTGAGGGGAGTGTGGGAAGGTTTGCTTTGGCCCAGACTGTTCTGTTTGGGATTCGGGAGTAGTACGATGCTTTAATGCCAACGACTCTCCTTAGGAACTGAAAGTACCAAGAATCAATTTTCTTCAGGTGTTTATCTTCTAGGGTGAGTGTGGATAGGCCGTAGAGGAGTACTGAAAGCACGTAAGACCTGAATATGACGAGCCTTGTTTTCTCAGGGATTGTGGCTTTCCAGAAGGGGGCGAGTTTACCGTAGGCTGCGTGGGCCTGCGAGATCCTATGATTGATGGCCTCTAATGTAGGGTTGGTCCAAGAAACCATAGATCCCAGGTATTTAATCTTTTCAGTTTTGGGGGTGGGTGTAGAATCTATGAATGCGGGCGGAGTAGTCTGGTGTGGTGTTTGCAGGTATTCCGTCTTGGTGAAGTTGAGGTACAATCCGTACAATGTGGCTTCGGACTGCACATTGCGTAGGTATTCTTCTACAGCCGAAATGGTGACCCCAAAAAGTAATGTATCATCTGCATATTCTACATCATATACCGGCTTTCCTACCGACCATGTGTTTGTGGGAACGCCTGTGCTGAGTAGTCTTTTGTCTACATCCGCTAACAGTACTGTCATCACAATAATGAAGAGATACGGGCTCAGCGGGCAGCCTTGCCTGATGCCCGTATGCGGAGTACCCTTAGCGTGTTCTCCATTTATACCTATGGTGTAGAATGTTGGGCTTGTATAAATATCCTTGATGATTTCAATGTAGTGTTGATGCAAGCTAAATCGCTGCAATGCTATCAGCATACTTTCATGGTCTATCTTATCAAAGGCCATACGCCAGTCTAAAAAGACTAAGTGAAATTGCTGACCTATCCTGGTGGAGTAATCCTGTAATCTTCTCAGTATGAACAGTGGATGTAATGTGCTGCGTCCTTTTCTGAATCCGTACTGTGTTTGGCGGAGTAGCTGGTCATAGGTTTCTGCCAGTCTGGCCTGGATGAGCGCGGCATATATTTTGTAGAGGGTGTTGAGTAACGCAATCGGCTTGTAGTTTGTTGCGTCCGCGTCGTCTCCCTTGCCCTTGTAAAAGGAACACGCAATTGCGTCCTTCCAATCTTGCGGCATTGTTTTGGTTATCCAGCACGTATTCATCATATCCAGAATTTGCGCTTCTCCAAATGTGTCTAGAAGGAGTAGCAGATCTTGACGAAGGCCGTCCGGGCCTGGTGCTTTGCCTTTTTTAAGTTTGTTAAGAACTGCAATGAGTTCGGAATGTGTGAAGGGTTGCAGAGGAGTAGTGTCCTGCGGTCTAAGGGGCGGCGAGTCGCTAAGTAAATTTCTTTCGTCCTGGGTGACTTGCGTCGGAGCCCATTGGGATTTTGTGAGGTGATTTGCGAACGCTTCGTGAGTTTTTGACCATGGTACTTGCCGTCCATTAACCACGAGCCTTCGTTTGCGTTCCGAGAATCCTTTCTTGAGTTTTCTCAGGTTTTTCCAGATGGTCCGGTGGCTGGGGTTTGGGTTGCTCTCGAAAGAGTCCCTGACCCATTGGCGTTTTAGCTGTCTTGCTTCCTTTTTCAATGCCTTGTAGTATGCGGAGTAGCCTGTGTCGAGGATTGCTTTCATCCTTTTAGCTTGCGAAATTTTTTCAGCCAATTCTGGCGTGATCCATGGCTTTTGCGGAGTAGCCTGATGGGGCGGGAAAACTTCCTGTTCTGCCGCGCGCGCAGCCTGCAGTATCCGATTGTATTTTTCCTCTACCGTGCCTTGCGCAAGGTGTGTAGTCTGGGTCAGATCCTCTATCAGCAGTGCGTTGTTTTGTGCGTATCGGCCGCCCTGTGCTGTGAGTGACTTTTTTCCTTGTTCAGCCAATTCGTCCGCGCGC